GAAAATACAATAGAATGTCGCAACATACCAAGGTCATCTCAAGCGATGGAAGGAGCACGTTCTGGCAGCCAGGACGGCATGTGACCAATGAAAACGCGACATGTCGTGGATATTGCAAACGCTGTTATTACAAAACGTGCATGCTTTTACAAATGATAATTCCAAATAACAGTATGAGACATATGTTAATGTTTCATGGAGAGGAAACATTATACTGCAATAATCGTTTAAAAAACGCCGCACTATGTTGTTTTGTCGTTTTTTCGTCTTCCGCGGGAGTGATGTGCCCGGTCATCTGCTGGTCTGTTTTCGAGCGCGCGCTCGTTGGGCTGAATCATCGGTCTTCCTCCCGCAGATTCCGACTGCGACGCGGGTGGCTTCTAAGCGTGTTTTGCGATCCGTCATCATCCGTGAATCCACGACCATCTTTTTCTGTTACGACACTCCGACTGACTAAAGTAACTCGCCAGAGTTTGGGTGTCCGGGCTATCCGTAGGGCAACCCGCGCGCATTCGAGATATCGCTCCGCGGGTCCACCGGTCGGAGACGCGAGAATATTTCGGTTGCTATTGGCTGAGAATGGTTCTAGTTTCGGAGCATGCTCATCCCATCACCTGAGAGGACCTCGGTGTGTGGCAATGTTTGGTTGTTTTGTTGTTGTTTTTTATGTGGAAATCGACCGCGTATCGTCATGATTTAGGAATTGCTAGGATGCTTCGAGCCAGCAGAACCAGTACAGTGAGGTATCGCCTTATTTAGGCGATCCCAGAAACCTTCTCAGGGCCTCTTTAAGGTGCGATCGTTGATATTCAATTAGAAGACTTCTAAATAGTCGTTTCTTAGAGTGAAGAAGGTGTTGTTTAAATCGCTTTCATTAAGCATTATGTCAAACTAGGGTGACCACCTTCCTGCTAGCGAAATGCGGGACACGCGGGGCAAGGGGGGGGGGGGGGGGGGGGAAGGGGGAGTGTAGAGGAAAGTTATGAACACGCACACTACGAACCGAGGCCCTGTTAACATATTTAATATCCTGTGCTGTTTATACACCTGCAAATTGTATTGCAGCAATTAAGCTAAAATAGTTTTCACTCCCAGTGATATATATTTTTATGCCAAATATGTTACTAAATGTATCGAATTGGAAAGCATAAAAATCAACTCCAGCAGCACTCAATGCATCAAATGAAATTAAGAAACAGTAAATATTTTTTCAGGCTATTGTTTCTTGTCAACGCTTACTTTTATGAAAATGGTCCTAAGCAAATTTTTAACAATATGTTCTTTTTCTTTTTGCCTTGTGTGGCTGTCTTCACTAAAAAAAGAAATCCACAGCAACCCTTTTTCGTTAAAGCAGCGATATGAAAATAATGGCAATAAACGGGCAATTTTCTTTTACGATATTTTGCCACTAAGGGGAGAGGCACAACGGCGCATGCTCGTCGGGCCTCCTGCAGAACGACGATCGCTTCCCGCAATGCTTGGATAGAAAACGGCGTACCATAGCGATTCACACGATTACCAGTGACCTCCGCGTTTCCCCGTTGTTCGGCAGTACCACGAGTTGCAGAGTGAATTTTACTACAGTGTGAAATGCGGGACATTTTGAAGATTTGGGAATTTCTCGCAGGACGCGGGACACGAGCCTTCAATGCGGGACAGTCCCGCGAGTCGCGGGACGGGTGGTCACCCTATGTCAAACGCAGTGAAGGTGGAATAACACTTGATGGGTTTGATGGTTTGGGGCTCACTCGTGTTGGTCGCACAGTAACAGGAGAGCACCACAGGAGGGAGGGTGAGGAAGGGAGATGGAGAGAGGAGGTGGTGGTAGGGAGGGAGGAGACAGGGATTGGGTGAGAGAGAAAGGACTGTACGTGTGGAGGGACAAGCAGGAGGGAGAAAAAAGAAGAATGGGGAAGGAGGAAGGAGGTAGAAGTAGGAGAAAAGGTTGGAAGAGGTACGACGGAGGCCGCGAGGTGAGGGAGGTTGGGGGGGAGCGAGAGAAGTGTAAGCAGTGTCGCGTGATGTGGGGTGTATAGGCCATTTGGCATCAATATCCCCGCTAAATTTAGCGGAGAAATTGAATTGGTGTATACGTCACACGACATAAAATTCCCTGCTAAAGTTAACCGGGAAACTGCATTGACGTATAGATCAGGTGACGTTAATTACCCGGCTAGATTTAGAGGAAACGAGATTGATGTAGTTACTTCACATCAATTTTTCAACAAACTTAGAGAGAAAACTGAATGGGTATTTAAGTCCCGTGACGTCACGTCACGGTGCGTCCATTTCTCCACTAAATTTAGCGGAAAATACTAGGGCGGACGGACAAAATTCTGGGATTGAAAAGGGGGGAGGTTAAAAGGTATTTCATGCTTTAGAAACCATACGCACCCCTGTCACCCTTATCCCATATTACAATACGAAAAAAATCATTTGACAAGTTACATGTATTTTTCTCAATAAAGAACGTACATCCTAATCTGATGTTTCCTCTCCGTGGTCTTCTAGAATACTTTCCTTCTCAAAAGGCTCCTAAATGGCATTGTTTCCTTCCACCGGCCGAACAATTTCCCAATTAGGAATATTTTAATTAAATCATTCTCATCGCTCACCAGCTATGATTTTTTTACGTGTCTAGTACATTTGTAAGAAAATGGAGGTCTTTAGGTAGCACGTCAGAGAAACGCCGAGTTTGGCGGAAGCTTGGCAATCCTAAGGGCCAAATTTGGGCCTCATACGGTATTGTTCCAAGGCGTTAGAGTAACATCTTTTTTGTGTGTGTGTTTCTCTGGATTGTTTTTATTTTTTTTTAACACATAACTGTCAAAAGTCAGGCTAAAGCCAACTATGCCACATTTGATCCAAAGTACCAGCGGGGAAGCCTACATCCGGCGCTAGTTTGGCAATATAGGCCCAAAGTTTTCTGCACGAAAACCGAACAAACAGATGCGATGCCAAACCCTAACACTTCTCTGGCGATTCGGAGCCAAGGATGCCAAAATAACAGCCAAACTACCAGACGTGAAGCCTAGCTTTGACGTTATTTTGGCGAATCAGGGCCAAGATACCCATACCTCGGCCAAAGAGAGGACAAGTTTGGCTCTATACATTTGCTTCTTTTGGCTTTATACGCCCCTAGATTCCCAGACGAACACAGAGATGCTGCCCAAAGAATTGTGCTCTCTGTTGAACCACTGAACTTCGTGAAGTCCCCTGATAGCTTTACGTAATGTTTATATTTCTCTTTAAATGCAGGGTCTTTTGTATGGTATTATGGTATATGGGTCGTGTGGATCCATATACGCATTTTTAGTAAAATTTTATAAGTCTAGCTATGGTAGGCGCATGGGAAATGAGCACTATATCGGTTATCGTTATTATAAGATAATATTCCATATTATATATTTGTTTTAACTACAGGCCCATCCCTTGACTCTGCCTCAACTAATGTAAACGCTTCAACGCTATACATGTTCATTGTGGCTAGGCAGTTTCGACCCCAATTTTTATGCGGACAATTTCTCAGAAACTTCTATTCCTGCCGCTGCTTTGAAGCTATTTTGCGGAAAGAAGTATTTTCTGGAAGCCACGAGGTGTGATGGATAATACCGGAAACATGTAGATCTCTTCTCATTTTGGTATTCACTCAACTGAAAGCGAGTTTACCACATGGCGGAGCAAGGGAAGTCCACGCGCGAATCGCACGTATGAACGAGACATCGGAAACGTGTTGCATTTTGTGCATTAAAACGAGTTCTGAGGAGCGCAGCAAGTATACCAGTGTTGCTGGAACAAACCTTCTCGAAGCTGTGAGAACGAGCACGCTCTCAATTTTGCCCGCGATGTGCTACAGCGACAATGTTGCATGGCTCAGGAACTACAACATAGTGTGCTTCACCTTGACAAACAAAAGCATGAAGAATGATTTTATGTATCGTTTTTTTTCTTTAGAGATATATCAGGTTATTTGAAAAGTATCGATTTTTGCCGTAGAATGCGCAGGGGGACAACAATTCTAATATTTAAAAAAAGATGTTTTTTAACGCCCCAGAAACTCTTTCAGCTGATGAAAAACGGTTTCGCCTCAAGCTCTATCGCCCCCTGGCACACTAGAAAGGCCACTGGGATATGAAAAACTCTTTCGCTTCAAAAAGGGAGCTGAAAAGAAGGTTTTTCGCGAAGAACACTTTTTGAAGGGTGATTAAAAGAACATTTATTGTGCAAAATATGGACAATCCGAAGAACCCCTAAGAATACTTTTACGACCAGCTTTTCTTTTAGAGTGCAGTCGGTATTCAAGCAATGAAAAAGGATGGGCGTAGCGTAGTTCGTAACGTGCAGGAATAGCGAATGTAGACCCGACAAATGAGCCAGGAATAAATGCAGTAAATTCAACCGATAGAGGTTAAAGCTGTTAGTGTCGATGCCAATAGTTGACAGGCTAATGGCGGCGCCACCCGTAGTGAGTATTGCTGGTTGAAGTAGCCAACATAGACGATACAGTATCTCACGGTCAATTGTTGTAGGCATCCATTTTGGAACGTGTTTCTTCGCTAAAGAAATATAAATAATACATGTTTTCCTTTTTTATTGCATGAACTTTTTATACTGTAAATTCTGAAAAAAAGTATGCCTCTTGCTAACAATCGTTGCTATTACATACCATCTAGAATGTGCGTTATACTCTCCTGTATTACAAACTGGTGCTTTAGAAAATGCTCTTTGATTGAGGGTAGCACCGTTACATCGTGGATAGCACCGTTACTGTCTTATACCCCATTCACACGTTCCACATAAAGCTACCTTTAGTATAGGTCCCTTTGCTATCGGCGAATCAGCTCGTGCTCTTGGGTCGCGAGCACACGCCACGCGCGGAAGATCGTTAATTGATTGGCCGCAGAGAATAAAAGGGCCCTTAGCTAAAGGTACCTTTACGGTTGTGGGAATGGGGTATTAAACGAAAATGGGAATATAGGTCGCTCACAAGAAAGGCTTGCTGAACGGGAAAAGGTTGATTATCTTTATTGCTCCCTTTACGACAGAAAATATTGGCAGTGATCACGGCCCCTTTTTGTAAACTCCTAGTACCTGACGTCTACCGTGGTATGTCGTCTTTGCCGAGTTTCTGTAAAAAAAAAAAAAAGATATTTCAGTCAATCACCAGGTCGATGGGTTCCCTTTAAGCAATGAGGTAAGGAACAAAATAAAGACGGGTTTATGAACTTACACTTCTTCTTGTGGAGGAGGGTGGTGTAGTCACCATAGGTACCAAGACCGTACCCGTAGTTGAGACCGTAGCTGCCCAGGCCGTGTCCGTAGCCGAAGTGGCCGGCACCGTAGCCGAGGGATCCAACGCCGTATCCGTAGACTGGAGCGGCATGGGCGTAGGAAGCCACAGCTGGAGCGGCGTGGTAGGTCTGGTAGCTGGCAACAGCTGGAGCGTGGGCAACGGTGGCAACAGCTGGGGCAGCATGGTAGGTCTGGTAGCTAGCAACAGCTGGAGCGGCATGGACGGTGGACACCCTGGTCACTGCTGGAGCAGCGGCGTAGGTGGCCACTGGTGCAGCGGCATAAGTGGCGACAGCTGGGGCAGCCTGGTAGGTCTGGTAGCTGGCAACAGCTGGAGCAGCGTGGACGGTGGACACTCTGGTCACGGCTGGAGCAGCGGCGTAAGTGGCGACTGGAGCAGCAGCATAGGAGGCAACTGCTGGAGCAGTCTGGTAGGTAGCGACCCTGGTGACAGCTGGGGCAGCGGCGTAGGTGGCGACTGGAGCGGCGTGGTAGGAAGCGACAGCTGGAGCGGCGTGGTAGGAGGTAGCCACAGTGCGGCTCACGGCTGGGGGAGCAACAGCGTAACTAGCTGGGGCAGCAACAGCGTAACTAGCTGGGGCAGCAACACTGTAGCCGGTCAGTCCAGAGTAGCCGAAGCCATTGCTGAGTCCAACAGTGTGGCCGTAGCCAAGACCATGGCCGTAGCCAAGGCCAGAGTAGCCGAGGCCAGAGTAGCCGAGGCTGGAGTAGCCGAGGCCGGAGTAGCCGAGGCCATGGCCATAGCCAAGACCACCCTGGACGTAGCCAGCGATGGTGCTGCTGGCCATAGCCAGGAGAAGACAAGCATGGAACTGCAGCAAGAAACACAGTCACGGACATGTTTAAATTAGTGAAACACTGATAGTTTAGTTTTTTATAAGGCAACATGGTGCCTGGTAATTTTGTAGGTTGGTTTTGTTTATAATAATGTCGATATGAATAAACTCCTCGCTTCTGATAAAATATCAAATTTCAATATATATCAAGAATTAAGATGTAGGTAAACGTTTTAAAACCTTGACTGTACTTGCACTACTGCAATATATTTCTTTGAGTTGTTTAATCAAGTTTGTTCGAAAATGTCTCGGGACGGCCTTCAGAAACCAGTGTTCGCTAAGTTGGCTGTGTTATTTGGCAGCATAATGTAAGCTTTGATCGACCGAGCAACAGCAAAAAGCCTGCCATTGGCGTCCGGCTTCCAGAAAGAGGTTCTATCTATCGTACTGTGGTGGCTTCCAATGATCCGTATCACCTCGTTTTAATGGGCGAACGTGACACGCTCTGAAATCAACGTATGTTTCAGGTACATAACTTCACGCTTGACGATAAATATGTTATACTATGCACACTTATGCTTACAGAGCTTCAAATAACCTCAATTAAAGCAATCAATTTTAAATTGAGACTTGACTCTTTAAACCGACAAAATGATATATTTCACGCATAGAAGCGCACAATGCCTCAAATTATTGTGGGCTCAGAAAATGCCAGATATGCCGTACAAAGTATATAACAAAGAATTTTGTTATCAACATGACTAGACTACATAGCCAATGGCCGACAATTATTTCGCCAACAAATAAGAGAAAAATGCAAACAAATGTGGTTCAGGGCAGTCACAAAAAGCGAGAGGGTGTAACGAAATTTCAGGTAACAATTTGTCCTCAGTTTTGTTATAAAACATTGTCATATGTAAAAGGGGCTACGCCTAACGTAATTCAGATTCTTAACGAAGAGTTGACAAGAGAGTTTCCAGAAGTGATATCACCAAAATACTTCACTCACTCCAGTCATGTTGTAGGTTTACAGAAGCGGTGTCCAACTGCGATTTTCGATGAAAAAGCTTGAGCTTATATACACCAACGGACTGAAGGAGAACCTGACCTACGTCCAATCAGAAAGCGCATAATGAATGCACAGGAAAGAAAGAAAACAGGCGACTCGTATTCCATATCAGCCGATCTTAACCTTGGCGAAAAGTATTCATTTATATCAATCACGTACATACAATGACTCGAATCAGCTTGAAACGAGGAATAGTTATTTTTACACTTCTAGAAAAAAACTGGTTTGAAAAATACGTTCCGCGTCCAACCAATATTGAATTGGACGCCCATGTTGCAATGAACGGGTTGGATTTACGCTCTGAACGCTGTGATTATGCCACACGGACTTTGCGATGCGCGACAAGCCTTTCTGCGAGCTTGAGCATCCAGTCTATTGTGTAAACCTATTTTCTTTCTTCATTTGAACGTACAAACTGCCGAAACCGGATTTTGAAAAATCAAATCACGTCACGGATTGCCGATCAGTGTCATCCTGATGGGACAAGTCCTGGAGAAATATCCGACTTGTGCATGCTCGCGGTAAACTCCCAAGCCTTACTTGAGCATAAAGCGCTTATTCGGGGTGTTCAAATAAAATCTATGTCCACCAGAAATTATCTGGTAGTCTTTCAGGTTAACGACCTGCATTATTTATTTATTTTATTTATTTGGTACCTACATCGCCCGGTAGGCATTACAGTAGGGGGGACGGAAATAATTATACAAAAGCGGACATATAGCAGAACAAAAAAACAAAAAAATAACAAATTATACAGAGAAACATGCCAATATATACTACAGTAATATCAGAACACGATCAACAGCAAGCACAGGCCGAACGAAGTAACCCGTCCAAACAGACTACAATAACAAGATTTCATCAAAAAATAATTGAACGTTAGGAAGCTCTACCAGTGAGTCGGGCAGCACGTTTCATTCACTAATTTTTTATCGGTAAAATGAATATTCAAGAACGTCAGTGCGTGTGAAAAATTCTCCGATATGTTTCTTACTGCCAGTACGAAGAGAAACATAACGGGGTGCCAATAGGTATCGTGATGTATCTATCCCGATGCTAGCGTAATATAGGCTATGCATAAACTTGAGACGGAGACACTTTTGTCTTAGTTGTAAAGGTTTCCATCCGAGCTGGAGCTTTATTTGAGAGACACTATCGTGAAAAAGAGTGTGATTTAACACATATCTCGCAGCCTGATTCTGAATTCTTTCGATTTGGTTTATACTTATATGCGTGTGCGGGTCCCAAATATTACAGGCATAGTCAAGATTTGGGAGGACATAAACTCCATTTATGGTGACACGCTGTTTCCTACCGTGGAGATAATTGGCTATCCACCGCAAAATATTTGCTTCGATATTTAGACTGCGTAGTTTATGCAGAAAAAGGAAGCGATTAAATACATCAAAGGCTTTTCTGAAATTTAGAAAGATACAATCAGTTTAACAACGTTTATCGAATGCGCAAGCAAGGACATGCTCAAATTCAAGTAGTCGCGTGTTACATAATATCCCTGCTCGGAAACCGTGTTGAACTGAGGGAAACAATGTGATTGCTATTTTTTTTAATTATTTCTAAGGTTGGAATAAATTGTGTTCCATTCATTTACAGCATTCACTCGTTAGGGAAATAGGCATGTAGTTTTCTACACTATTTTTTTACCGTTCTTATGTATTGAAACTACATTTCCGAATTTCCAATCATCAGGCAGACGTCCACTTTATAGCGACTTCATAAATATTATCAATAAGTACAACGCTATACAATCGGTACAAGGTTTCAATATAATATTGGGGAATTCCATCCGGTCCAGGTGCTTTTACTAATTTTATATAGACTTGTAATTTTCTAATGCTGCTATGACTGAAGGTAATGATTGTCCATTTTACTGTTAACTTTATCAACAGTCGAAGGAAGCGATGTAGGTGTAAAAGTTGAAAACACAGGCTTGAAGTATCTATTGAAAGTGGCTGGCTTAACACTATCGTCTGTAACGAGAGTATCATCGACCAGAAGAGCGGAGACGCCAGCCACATCCTTACGTTGCGATTTTACAAACTTCCAGAGCTCTTTTGGACAGTCCCTAAGTTTGTAATCAATTCCAGTATTTTATTTTTAAAGATATTCAACAACCTATTCACATCAGTGCACTTTAAAATCATCAGAAAAAATCCATGAGATCAAAACTCATACTATCGTAATCCCCTCTATTGAACATGTATGTCTTTTTGGGTGAGTTTCTGTATCTGGGCACATTCAAATATGTCGGAGACGCTACAGCTGCCTCGTGATCACTTATTCCTGGAACTACTGAAACAAAGGTTATCTACGGGAATCTTTTACAAAGAAGAATATCCAAGACACTTGAACGACTAACGCCAACGCCAACGCGACGAAAAATTGTCAATCACGGGACGGTGATCTCTCCAAGAAACATCTGGTAGATTAAAATCGCCACCCAGAACAATATAACCCGGCGCAACAGCAGAAAGTTCATTATACAATAAGATAAATGGCTGAGCACGGCTCGATGGGGGCCTATAAAGGAAACCAAGAGTTAAGTATTTACCTCGGGAGAGGGAAATCTTAGACCACGCTATTTTTTAAGACACGCCGGTAATATCCAGGCTCTGAAGAACAGGAAAAAATACACCGCTACCAAGATTACCTCTACCGTTACGGTAGACATTAAAGGTTCAAGCCATGACTCAGTTCCAATAACAATTTCCGGAGTGGTGATTGAGATAAGACTAGCTAGGTCATAAGATTTATCCCGAACACTTCTGCAGTTTACAATAAGAACTGTGATGTCATGGACAAACGCTGACAATGTCGCAGAAACACTTGGTAATTGTTATCGATTACATTCGACGACAGTTTGGGATTCTATATCATAGATGCATGAGTTTCGCCCAATCGAGAGTTTATTAGATTTAAAATTAAATAGTAGGTTTGTTTGTTGTTGTTGTTGTTTTTCTCAAACTCGAGTAGTTTTCTACGCCCCATCCGGACTTTAGGCGAGAAGTCTTCACTAAGACTATAGGATGAGTTTTTAAACTTCGAACTCTGAAGCAAAAGCTCTTGCTTCGTCTTGAAAGACACAAATTTTACTATTATTGGTATGTTCCGTTGACCACTGAAAGCGCCAAGTCTGTGACCATGCTCAATAGCGGATGGTTCGAGAGAACGACCGAGGCTATCACGACACAATTTTATCCAGACTCAAACCGAAAAAAAAATTTAGCGTTTCGGTTAAGGTTACGGTTACCGTTTCCTGTTGTTATCTGTTTTGTTTGGGGTTTTTAAGGTTTTAATTTTTACGATTTCGGTTACCGGTTACAGGTTCCTAAAACAGGTTTTTTTTTTTTTTGTTTCTCCAGTAACCTGCTTTATTGAAATGATAGACCGCCGTTTTTTTAATACACAGTTTAAAGTAGTCGCATATATCTAACAACGGGGCGTTCACAATAACACAAACTCAAAAATGGCTGAGTACTACTAGTTGGTCAAAAGTTGCACACATTTTTAGCTCCGAAACCTTTTCACTAAAGCTATATGCATTATATCATTTATACCCAAACACACATGGGACCCCCGCTACTTGGGGGTCATCGGATTCTATGTAATAAAAATAAAAATAAACTTCGCCCCTTCGGGGTTTTGCCGCGTTTGTATACAACCCTCAAAAAGTTCCCACTGGGTGCTGGAAGAAACATTCGCACCTTTAGTTCGCTATAGTTTGTTGCAACCTAAGATATGCAGAAGGGGCTTCGCCCATACTAAAGGAAGGAGCACAACTATAGCCCTTCCCTAGTAAAATACTGCTAAGCGAAATAAAGTAATAAAATGTTGAGTTGGGCTTGTTGTGAACGTCAGACATGCTTTAAATGCAATATCGCAGAACGAGGTAGGCTAAGGAGAGGATAGAATTATACAGAAAGCTGTAAAGATATGTCGTGCGTTGTTCGTTCCTTTCCCTGGTCTTCCTTGTTTTGCGCGTTTGCACCTACGACATGTCCTGCTGCCTATGGCAGGTCAGGAACATCGGTGATTTTGAAAGAAACCAGATCTCTCCTCAAGGTCATTTTTTAGAAAAACTAATATTTTTTTTGTTAATATCGGCAAATATTTGTTACAGGTATATAATTTGCGGTTACGGTTATGGTTACGGTTTTAACAAATTTCATACAACGGTTTCGTTCCGGTTACGGCTACTGAAAGAATTTCGTTCCTAAACGGTTTTCGGTTTCGCTTACGGTTACGGTTGCGGTTTGATTCCCTGGTTTTTGGGGACCGATCTTTTGCCGTGCAATTCTGTCCCGTTTATACAGAATCCCGTTGTCCGGACTATGGACAGCTATTTCGGGGACAAATACAGGAAAATCTGGTATTTTTGTATCGCTAATATGGACGCAAGTGTGCTAGTTAAAAAAAAACAAAAGTTGAAAAACGCCTTTCAGATATTAGTCAATCAAAGAAATCACAGGTGTGCACCCGAATGTTCGTTGCCGGTTTATAACGCGCAAATGCGTGTCTATATAGTGCGAGAAAATGATAATTTAATTATTATGATGAAAAGCGAAGCAATTCGGTTGCTGCGTGTGTGCGCGGGAGGCCCGTGTTGCTGGTGTTGCGACGTCAAGTTGCTGGGAGAAATTGCCCCGTCTGAAGCGGGCCTTAGTTCTACATGACGTGACGCGCCCGAAAACAATTTTATAAACAAGCATGCCTCCCATAGAGAAGCACGGGAAACCGGACCCGCGACCAGAGGTCGGCATTTTAGGTCGCCCTCACTCACCCTCACCCTCACAGCCACACTCACCTAAGCCCCTCACTCACCCTCACCATCACAGCTACACTCACCTTCAGCCCCTCACTCATCCTCACCCTCACAGTCACACTCACCTTCAGCCTTTCACTCACCCTCACTGAACCTCACGGCCCTCACGCACTCACCGCCCTCACGGCCCTCACGCCCCTC